AGGGACTCTTATTTGAGATTAAGATATCAAAGCCAGGTGGACTAGTTTTTTACTTTACTTTGGGCCATAGGAAAAAAGCTATCACTTCTCATTGCCAGCAGTGTTTTTGTAAAACACTGACACATTTCTCCCAGCTGGCTAGTCCCCATGTCTGTAACATGAAAAAAGGCAGGCAGATTTATCCAAGCTCTCAAAATGCTTGTTTTGTTAAAAACCAATTCTGTCTACACTTCAACCCAGAACCCTGACTGTGCACAGTGGAGGAGACTTGAGTTTGCTTTGCATTCACATATCCTGAGAGTAAACACCCCCAAATGCCAACACACACACTGGCCAACACCGACCTTTGGCTGACAGTTGGGTGGCTACCCTGCACTGGAACAGTTTGCTGAGCTCCAGGACTGCTCAACTCCATTCTCCTGCGACTCCAGCTGAGTAACTTCAAGTCACAAACTAAAGACAAGGCCGCCAAAAGAAGAACAACTGCTTGACAGACAGCTATGGCAAAGCCCCCTTACTTAAAGTGTTTCTTTCTACACAGACACCCGACAGCTTTGAGTGACATTCTAGAAAACCCTAGGTGGGTTTACATTTATAAGCCTGCCTCTGAGTTTGTTCAGCTTTCTTTGCCTACCTTAGCTGAAGGGCACTTAACTGGAGCCTCTGGAAAGCCCACCAACTTAAGGTGATGCTGACATTGGGACATGCCTGTGGCTGGTGGCCTGTAATAGGCTGCATGATTATGCAGCTTGACGAGTGGACTAACATATGAACTATGCTTTAGGGAAAGCTCTCCCAAACAGGGTTTTACCCTCTACTCTCACACCCACAACAATAATCAACACAGAAGACTTCTGTGACTAAATGTGGGTGTTTTTCCCCTCCCCAACTGGGTGTCCTCCAATTCAATTCCAACACTATCTACCTAGAGATAGTGTCAGATCCCACAGGGTGAGGGCTCAGTCCACAATGCTGTCACAAGTCCAGGCCTCCAGAACTTCTGACCAACCAGCTTCAAGTTGGGGTTCCCGTGACCCCCTCTTTGGGTTCGATTAATTTGCTGAAGTGGTTCACAGAACTCAGGAAACACTTTACTTACATTTACTGGTTTATTAAGATGAAAATCGCAAAGGATACAAATGAAGAGATGTACAGGGTGAGGAACCGAGGGAAGGGGCATGGAGCTTCCATGGCTGCCCTGACCATCCCACCTTCCAGGAACTTCCACAAGTTCAGCTATCTGGAAGCTCACAAAACCCAGTCCTCTTGTTTTTGTGGGGTTTTTTGGAGTTGGAGTCTTACTCTGTCACCCAGGCTGGAGTGCAACGGCATGCTTACAGCCACCGCAGCCTCGACCTGCTGTGCTCAGGCTACCCTTCTGCCTCAGCCTTCCAAGTAGCTGGAACTACAGGCATGCGCTATCACACCCAGCTAATATTTTGATTTATTGTAGAGATGAGGTCTCACCGAGTTGCCCAGGCTGGTCTCGAACCCGTGGGTTCAGGCAATCCTCTCACCTTGGTCTCCCAAAGTGCTGGGATTATAAGTGTGAGACACTGTGCCCAGCCCTCTTGGGTTTTTATGGAAGCTTCCTGATATCACCATTCCTTCCTCCAGTGTATATGGTGGGATCCTTTCTGAGGAGGGTCTTAAAACCCATAATCAGAAAGGAGGGGGAATATCAGAGTCCTGTCTGGACAAGTGAAAGGAGAGCAGGAGGAGGTGGGAGAGATTCTGTTTCTGAGGCCTGCCTGGGAGGCCTAACACACCCAACACTGCAATAAAAGACTAGGCTATGGCGGTCATGAGGTGGGAACCATGGACAAAAACCAATATCTACATCATAACACCACAACCTGGCGTACACACTTTCAACAGCCTGCACTGAGACCATTGATAAAACCCCACACAGTAAGGCAAGAAGACCAAAGCACCAGAATGAAAAGTCCTGTGAGAACCCAAATCTTCCCCCAGAGACATTAATATATATGAGAATTCCTCCTCTAGGACAAAATCCCTTGGGTAAAAACACAGCAACTTGTAAGTGGAGAAAAAGTTATTTTACTGGGTAGATGAAGGGACAAAAAGACAGTGGTGTGAGGGTTCACTTACACCTCACAGCTTGCCTGGCTGAGAAGTGGGTCCATGCTATGGAACAGAGCTGGTCCAACAGGAAAACTGAACAGTATCTGCCATCAGAAGTAGCGAAGCATACCAGAAGAGAGCCCGCTCCCTGGGGGCTACACATACCTGGAAGGAAAAAAGACTGCAACCTCAAAGAGGAAAGAGACTGCTGTTTAAACTGCTCAGAACAGCTGATTCGTATTTAAAATATGTTTGAAGAAGATAACTATGGAACCGAGGAAGGATGAAGTGGCCTTATCTTAACATACCAAGGCCCTCCTCCCTCCCTAGCCTTTGACAGATTCCCCTTCCAGTAGCTCCACCAGACTGACAAGCACACTCTGTGACCAGGAAGACTAAAAGCCTGGGACAAACCAAATGGCTTCCACATATACTTCCTTGAAACCACATGCACCCCTTTCCTTTTCCCCAGTAAAGTCTATTCCAAGTGCAAAGTAGCCCTTTAGGATTTCCTCCTCTTTCCAGCAGTTCAAGGAAAAGTCCCAAGGTTCTATTTCATCAGGACCAAGGAATTTTAGAGATAAGAAAGACACTTCCCTGACTGGGTCCCAGTCAGTGGGATTCTCCCTGTCCAGCTCCCAGAGTGCCATCACCCTGGCTTGCTCAGTTTGCTTCTAGGTAGGGGGATGAAGCTTTCACCCTAATCCCCATTTGTGTGCAGGGTAGACCCTGGTCCAGCCTTTCCAATTCTCCTTCTCATCACTCCTACCCTATATCATCCCAGGACCTGCCAGTCATTTCCAGAAGCTCTATGTCAAGCCTCACAGTGAGCAAGAGTCTACTTTCTAGTCCTTTCTGCACACATAAAGTACCAACCACAGTGGGATTTACGCATGTGTTCACACTGAAGATTAAGAAGTGAGTGTCCCCTGAAGACTCTACTCTGAACACATTTAATCTGGCACACTTCTCAGCTACGAGCAACTCTGCCCTATCATAATCACATTTCCCTCTCTGAATCACAAGTGTCAAATCCTAGGGGATAAACCAGGCCATCAGCACCAATCAAACCCAAGAAAACAGCCAAAGCTAGGTGAAGAAACCTCAGGTTAGGGAACAAAATACAAATTTAACCTACAGTTCTTTTAGAGAGAAAGGAAGGGCAGCTAGAGGAGAGAAAAGTGGGAGGGGTGTCGAGACCCACTCATTATGTCTTGAAAAAACACACATACAGCATGTAACCAAGTCAGCAGTTGATTTTGGCAAAGTTGTCACAAATTATTACTGTGGGAAAAAATGGGTATTTGCTCAGCAGAGAAAACAGCAAGGCAAGTAGGGACTAAAAAGGAAAGAAAAAGTGGCAAACATATACTGTTGGGTACTTGTTGTAAAACTTAGTAAGGTCAGGCAACCAGAAGCAAGTGGTATCCACAATCAGAGCCTCTTCAGGGTTATCTAAGCCTGGGAGAATTCACCCAAAGAAACCCCATGTTATTAACATGCAAGGTGGCCACTCTAGCAACTGTACCCTACAAGACAAGCACACAGTTGCAGGACCCTTCCCTGGCGCCCAGGAGCATACTCTCTGCAGGAACTCTCCACACTGCCCATGTGAGCACATTGGGGAAGTTCTGAGAACAAGTCACATTAGAATTAATGCTTCTGTACAAATAGTTATAACCTTCCCTTCCCCCAAAACACAATCACAAGGGCACTCCTAGGCCCACATGCCAAACAAGCTTCTCGTTACTGTAATAAGGGGAAAGATGTACACTAAAAAACAAAAACACACACACACACACAAAAACTAAAAAACACAGTCCCTCCATCCCCACAGGGTGGAACTTCTAGTTTTCCAGAAGAGCCATCTGGGGCTTCCTTCTCTGTTCAGCCACTAGGTCGCCCAAGTTTCATAGAAAATAAGGAAACTTAAAATATAGATAATAAAATGGAGTTTGACAAGGGAGGAGCCAAGGGACACCTGAGATGCAACTTAGTTAGGAGAGCCTAGGACAGAAATGGAACAGGTGGAGCCTGTCCGGGAAGAAAGAAGAAGAAAGAGAATTTCTGGGGGAGGTGGGAGTCTGGGTTGATCCTTCCCTGAGCAAAGGGAAAATAAAGCTGAGGGAGAAGGACTGTGGAGTTGGGAGGGGGCGTGGGGAGAGTGGTACCCGGAGGCAGAATGCACGGCCCTAACACTCCAGGTACTGAGAGGGATGCAAGGAAACAGGATTTAAACGCGAATTACCATCTTCCTTAAAGAGTGAAGGTGCTGAAAAGAGCTCAGCATCAGACTGAGATTTAGGGAGGTGGGCTCAAAGCACAAAAAGGTGGAGAAGAAAAGCCTTTGAGATGGGGCAGAGGCGGATGCCACTCTTGGGGGTCACGACTCCAGGAAGGAAAGTGGAGTCACCTTAAGTCGAAACGGCAAGGTGGGAGGCGGGCACCTCATAAAGAGACGTGTAAGGTGGAAAGGGGCAGGGTCACTCCTGGCTAGAGGCTCAGGACCCGGGGGCCCGGGCTGCTCCCTAGCCTGGGAATGCGCAGCCCGGGCTTGCCGGGGAGGAAGGCACCTCCACCAAAGGGCTCGCGTCCCCGGGCCTGAACTCCTCCGGCAGGAGGGGTCCCGAGGCTAGGCGGGGCCGGGCCCGTGGCTCGTCGCGCGGCCCTCAAAGAGTTGAAGATACTGAACACATTTAATTCTGAAAATACTTAAAGGATACACATTCAAATATGTGAAAGGCATTCATAGACCATTGATAAACGTTTAAAACTATACACAGGCTCTGTTTCTACAGAGAACCCTAACACATAAACCATTCTAGACA